TTATGTAAATCCCAGTACTCTAGTTCATAATGGCTCCCAGCTGAACGCTGCACAGCAATTTGTACATGGTACAGTTATTGAGAACAAATTATACACCTCATTATATAAATCAGATCTAGTCAGCCAGTCAGAATACATGGACTGAGAATTATAAGTAAAGTTATGAGTCAGTGTCTCTCTCCACTCTGATACAGTATCAGTATAACTGCAGTTATCTGACATCCCCTAGCATATTAATTTGGTTTTAATTTTTTTAACTGTGAATTGATTATATGCTAATTGGGCCTAATGGATCCATTCTGCAACTCTGTTGAACTAAAAAATAATTCCAGTGTGACTAACAGGGTGACTTTTCTCTGAGGATTACTGAGGATAATTCACTGTGCACTTGTGTGTTGCAGATATATTAAAACAGAATAACAAATATTTGTTGTATGCTTCTTAATTCATTTAATGACCAGTGCATGCCTTCACACAAGGGTGATGAATACACCGTCTAGATTGAATAAGGACACAAACCAAAATTTCCCTAATATAGCCATCATTCTGGGGGGGAAAAAACAGATCACAGATAATTAAATGTTTATTGGCATTTATACTCTCTTAAATCAAAATCTTGTTGCATGAATGAGACAAATCTCCATGCAAGTTGGTACGTTCTTCATATGGAAGCCTGGTTCATGGTGAAATATTAAAAGCAATTTTTGCAAACCAAAATTACTTTTACATTTTCTGTTGCTTTTTTTAAATGAACTTAGCTGGAAAAAGAAATACCCCTTTGGTTTGCAAAATTGCTATGACTGTGCCTTCTAGAAGAGTGTGGCAATTCTGAAAATGATGTTACAGACCATTGCCTTGCAAGCTGCCTGCTGCTTCTGCAGGGCAACGAGCTCAACATTTCCAAGGAAACACTGTAATTGATTAAAAGATAGAGATTTGAATTTTCTGTTCAGAACCTTAAAATATCAAAGCACAGTTTAAAATGTGCTTAAGGCACTGGCTACACTGTGAGCTGAAGTCCAGTCCTGTAAGGAAGCCAAATCCTCTCAGCTGAGAGCATCCCATACTTTGCAACAGGAGACACTTTATGGCAAATACAAACCAATACGTAATGTTGTTATATCCTAACAGTGATACACATCCAGTTTGCTAAAGATATTATTTTAGAGAGACAGAGAGGAAGATGAAACGTGGTCCAAGAAAAGCAAAAGCCACACTGAAATCGAATGAAAATACAGCACTTATTCAAGATGAATAAATATACCAAAACCTGGCCCTTGCTCTCAAAATGTTGTGCAGGCAATGCCTGTTGAAAAATTTGGGCTCTGATTTATTGTTTACTTGCCTTTGGAACAGCAAACAGATACAAACACCAAATCCTACTGTTAGCCATCAGTGCCATAAGGATGCCATAATTTAAAACAAACTGTTCTAAATGGAACTGGAATTTCAGGAAGCAAAGTGAAAAGATGCTGGTAAATGAAACTCTGCTACAAAGGATGAAATGCTGGATTACAAATGAGCACTCCCTTTAGTTAGCTTGCTAAATTGGTGTGCAGAACTGGAAACAGAGAACAATGAACACCTCCTGACACCAGGCTGTTTGTCTGGTGAGTATCCCTCACTGCAAATGTTGGTACTGTGTGAGTATTTTTTGTGTTTCTATAAAGTCCTAATGAGCTCCTTGGGTGAGAGTGAAACCCTTTGCTTTTTCACACTGTGCTCAAGACCCTTAAACTTCATGGGGTCAGGCCTAAAGAAAGGGTAATGGACCATGAGGTCCAGCTTAATAGACCTGATATTAACACAGCAGCAAGAATGTCACCAAATGCAAAGTTTAGGGCAGGCAATGAATGAAGTATTTGTTACACTTAAATAATATACAACGATTATAACAGAGTAGTAGCACTATATCAATGTCATCACTGTGGGACTTTGAAAATCTCCCAAGTATGAAATAACTTTGCAGTGCATTTTTCCATTATACCCCAAATTTACATATATACACTGATACATTGTATCAGTATATGTTAAATGTCATATCTAGCCAAATAACAACCATTTTTGTTTCTTATAATTCTAGGATCTTGAAAATTCTCCCATGAGTAGAAACCCTCTCTGATGTACCAGATGCCAGTAACACAACATTTGCATATGAGAAGCAAACTATTAATTCTCTCTGGATGCTGGTGTTGGTGGATCTGTTCAAGACAGCATTTTGTTGGCTTAAAGAAAAACAGAGGAATCAGCTTTGCTCACTTGGGTTTCATCCTGATATTCTTACTTGTGGAAAAGTGCTATTAATATGTGAGTGTATGGAACAGATAATATGGGAATAGGAAAAATAAGGATGATGCAGATACGGAGAGTAGCATCAGAGCTCACCTCCTGGATATTTATAAACAAACAATTATTTCCTCAGCCTCCAACAGCACTTCCCTTGAAATCAAATAACCTTCATTTTATTTTGTTTAATAAATATGAAAACAAAGAAAGAGTGTGTATAATTTTCCCTACTTTAATTTGTTTCAGAAATTGAAAAAGTAGAAGCAAAAATCAAGTCAGTCTCCATTGAGCTGTTCTAACTAATTTGGGAGTATATTTTCCTTTAATATGCAAAATGTTTTTGGTGTTTCTGTGTCTTGGTTCCTGTGTGTTTGGTGTATCTATCACTGCTTATATTTTTAATAATCAACTGGGAGAGTTCAACACTTTCCAGTGTATATTATAACTAACAGTGAAAGTTAAAAGCTATGCAGTGATGGGAGGGTGAAATCCCAGTACAGATGTACCAGATGTACCAGATGTCCTTGCATTACAGAGAAAATCCAGTAAATCTAGTTTTTAAAAGTTAATAATTCATTTTGTAAGATTATATCATTATGAGAAAAAGAGAAAAATGCTAAAAATTTGGATGTTGGACAAAGTTCTGATCTCAGTTCACCCAGTCTGAACATGGTGTTCTGAATCTACTGTGGGCTCACTTTTGTCCCATGTGGACTAACAGGGACAGGAACAGCCCCGAGCTGGCTTATGATTCCAGGCAGACAGAGGATTCCAGGCAGACTGAGGAATATGAGCTTTCTTTTGGAATCTGTTGGTGATCAAGGGGAAATGACTAAAAAGGGACAGGGATCAGTTTGCATTTCAGTTATGTGAAAGGTTTAGGGAATTTTGGTTAAAATGCATTTAAGTTTTGAATTTGGGTATAGTATCAAGGCTGTTATCCCTGTTGAGTAAGGAATAGAAAATAAATTTATATCAAACATACCTATAGGGAAGAGCTGCCCAAACTTTAGGCTGGAGTGGTTGGGTATGGGAGCCCCAAGCAAGGCATAAGAGAATGAAGAGGGGCTTCTGTTAGGAGTATCTTCCATGGACTTTCTTTAGAGTCCTACCACTGGCTTTACGTGTAAGGCTTTGATGGTACACAGGGTAAAGATGACTTAGAAGCAGATTTGAGATGATGTTGAGCTGAGACAGCTTGAGCTGAAGTTAGAGACTTACAATCTTGCTGAGGGAACCTAGTAAGCACCTCCCTTTCCAGCACCAAAGCTTCATTTGGGGTAGGTGCTAGTGCCTACAAAGCAACATGTCCCATAGGAGGCAAGACAGAGAGATCTGCCCAACTGTTCAACTTGGCCAGCCCTATATAACAAATGCAAGTAGGGTTATGATGAAAGGGAAAAGGTAGGGAGTAACTGTCTTGTTAGCTATTTGCAAATATGAGATAAGGACTGGGGTGAGATTGTAGATAGCTAATATTTTTCGTTTACTAGACACTGGTTGTTCTATGTCCCCTTACTGTTCTAAAAAGTACTCCTTGTTTTAAGAGTTGAACTTGTTAGTGGGGTATAGGTTATACAAGAAACCCACAGACCAACATATATATCTGCACAGAGCCAGCAATCACCCTAAACACACCAAGAAAGCTGTAATATATAGCCAAAGCCTCAGATACCACCAAATTTGCACTGAGGAGAACACCCGGGATTGCCACCTCACCAATCTTAAAAAGGCTTTCATTCAACAAGGACACTCCTCCAGAGTGATAGATCACACATTTGAAAGAGCCACCCGGTTACCATGTAAAGAATTGCTGCAGTACAGAAGGAAAACCCCTATGAATCACACACCACTGGTTATGACATATCACCCCTCGCTCGAACCTATACAGAAAATCCTCAAAGAATTACAACCCATACTAGAAGAAAACCCAATTCTTACAGAGATCTTCCAGAAGCAAACTTCCTACAGCCCAAAACACACCAAATGGATCCAGACCATGCCATGACAAGAAATGTAAAACCTGCCAACATATCTTCACCACCCTCACAATTACTACACCCCACAACAGAACCATCAGCATTCCTGGAGCTTACAGCTGCACCTCTAGAAGTTAATATATATCATCCAATGCACCAAATGCCCTGATGGAAAATGCATAGGAGAGACCAAACACCACCTGCACACCAGAATGAATGCACACCGTAAATCTATCAAAGACAAGAATACCCAATTACCTGTGGGGGTTCATTTCTCACAAGAAAACCGCCTCTCTCTCTAGTCTCTCAGTTCTAATCCTCAAAGGCAAGCTACAAAACACTGTTCACAGACGAGCCTATGAACTTCACTTCATCAACCTCCTGGATACAAGAAAACATGGACTAAATATAGACATTGGATTAATGACACATTATAACCTGCCTAACATCTCACTCCCCAGGGACCTGTCCACTATTTATCAGCTACATTCATTCCCCTTCCCCTCCCCGCCAGCCTGTCTCTCACCCATTGACTCCTCAGTTTACATCTTCACTGACTGGCTTTCTTACATGCATACCAGCCTCTGGCTTCTTTACTATTCATTCCATCCAGGAAGAGCACAGATTAACTGCAGATGCTTCCTCAGCCTGATGAAGGGTATTTATACCCGAAAGCTTGCTAAGAATAATTTTTCCAACTATTTCAATGGGTCCAATAAAAGATATCAGATTTACCTGAAGAACCTTGTCTGGACTTGTTAGTACCATTTAACTGATTTAATTTAGCTCTCCAGGCTTCTGGATAGAGGCTTGTACTGATGTTACTTGAGTCTTTCTTGAAGGAACCCCTGTCTTGTTGAATCCAACCCATCTGGTATATGGGGTAAAATTTTCAAGAATACCCCTGTGATTTAGAAGCCTAATTTCCACTGTATTTCAATGGAGCTTGGAGCCAAATTTTCAAAGTAGTTACAAGACTTAGCAGCTTCAATCCCATTTTCAAAGCAGCTTTGCACTTAGGGACCTTGCAACAAGATCAAACCCAAGACCCTCAAAGTTGCTCAGGTACCTAACTCCCATGAATACCACGGGTAGCAGATGCCTGAATACTGTGGAGGACCTAGGTGTGACTTTGAAAGCAGAGCCAAATAGCTTTCAAATGTATCACTTGAAATGACTTTATATCCAGGCTGTCCAAAAAGCGGCTCCTGAGCTGCATGCAGCCCCCACAGGTTTAGTACGCTGTCCCCAGGCTCCTGCCCAGCTGAGACTCCTCTGCCCCGCCAGTTGCTCCTGTCCCAGTGGCTAGAGGGGCTGGAGTGCCTAAGCTGCATGTGCAGAAGAAAAGGGAGTCAGGCTGTCTGCACCACAGGTGAATAGTGCATGCAGCTGGGGGGGTTGGATGCTTCATGTGTGGTGGGTGGGAGCTGAGCTGCCTGTGCAGTAGTGGGAAGGTGTTTTCTGGAGCAGAGCAAACTGGGATGCCCATGCTGGAGCAGAACCTGAGAGGAGTGCCTGTGTGCAGCCCCCGGCTCTGCAGCCCTCATGGCATGTGGCCTCTGGCTGCCTAGAAATTGCACAGCCAGCTCTTTATTTCCCAGGATTCATGACTTTCCTTGCAACTTCAAAAGAAATTTAAAAAACGGGTTGTGGACTTCTATGGATTTGATGGCAAATTAAAAACAAGCAAATTAAAACCAACTTAATTAGTAAATTAATGATAACTTTAAGAAGTTAAAGTTGAAAAATATGATCATCCAGCTGAGAAAGTTACAGTTAGATCAAACTCCATTAACTAATAAACAGTAGAATGAAGTTGCAATTTATGAAATCACCAGATGATCCCAAACCCAAATTCAAATTATGAAGTTTCATAACCTGGTTCCCAGCTCTCTGAGGCCCCTGACATACATTCATTTAATAAGGTGATGGGATTTGATCCCCAATACCAACAACTGTAGCTCCCGCCATGCCACATGTGTGACAGGAGGTGCAACTTCGGGATCAAGGATCAGATCCCAGTTGTAACACTGTTACTTTGCAGTGCAGCAGGAGCCTAGATTCATAATCCTGGGCTTCCCCGCACTAACAATTGAAAGCCAGGTACCTGCAGCCCTGCATGTGAGGCCAACAATCAGCTGATACTTGGCCCTTGCCCTGATAGCCCCAGGTCCAGTTCATCCGGGGTTCTCTGAGCAGACAATCAGCCCCAGTGGCTTCAAGGGTTTCTCCAAAGGGACTTTAAGCTCTATGCCTAGCAGAAGCTCCCCCCTCCACCAGAAGCCTCTGATCCCTCCCAGGCAGTAATCCCACCAGCCCCGCCAGGCACAGTAGTTAAACTCCCCAGTGGGGGAAGCCCTTCAACCACCCTTGTCTGCAGCCTCTGGTCCCTCTCCCCTCCAACCAGAGCAAGGCTAGGCCTAGTCAGAGAGCTGGGACTACCCTGGGGCAGCCCCCAACCCACTGCAGACCAGGACTGCCCTAGGCTGGTGTCAAAAATAGTCAGCAGGCCAGGTAGAGACTGGGACTGTCCAGCACTGATTCCAACAATCAGCTGATTGTCAGGCATCTGAGGTGTAGAGCCCCAGTATATGGACCTGCAACATGTTCAAGTTAGGGCACCATACAAACCAGCTGTAGAAGTGTTCTACATTATTTGTGAAATGATTTTATGGCTGTTTTGCCTTTTTATGGTGCCTTAAATTGGGTGCACATGTAACATCCTTGCCATTTATGCCATGATTGACTTAATTGTGCCATAAATGTACCATGTAGAGGGGGCCTGAGACAGCAGCAAGATTGCTGATCATTGACTTATCTAAGGAGGGCTAGATACAATGAAGTATTTAGTGGCACCTGGCCACTTGAGCAGACCCAAGAATCCTGAATCAAGCTCCTAAATGCCCACAGAACATGGAGAAACTTAGCCACATTGGAGTGGCAATCCAAAAAACCTCTGTGCTGAGAGTGGGAATGCACGTAACTAGCCAACAGGAAATGCTAAGCAAAGGACTGGCTGAAATCCAGTTATTCTTTGGGTCTTAGTTGCTTGAAGTCAGAGGGGCAGATAGACACCTCCACCCACACAGAATCCTTTCCTGATGGCAGATACCTAAAACCGTTCTTTGAACTGGACAGTACTTATTTTTTTAATGAAATGAGAAGAAGCACAGGGAGGTGCTCATTTTTTATATAATGGCCTGGGGATAGTGAGGAAACTCCATTCTAGGCACTCCTCTGTCTGAAATAATTCAAACCCACATCTCCCTCTAACCACTAAGCTAGAGGCTTGGCTGGATTGTAAATGTTTCCTATCCTCCTGCTGAAGCTGGGCTACTTCAGCAAAGAAGGAAAAATTCATCGGGCTAGAGATGTGGTTTTGGTGCCTAGTGGTTAGGGCACTCACATGGGAGGAGAAAGCCCTGTTCTCAGGACTGTTTTTCTGTTTCATCTAATTACTGTTTCATGTAGCATACAGAAGCATCCAGAAGGCAGGATGGATTTATGAACTAAGGAAAAAAGGAAAGGGACATTTCACTGGCATCCTACACAAAGAAGTAGCTAAATTCAACCTGAGGGGCACAGACAGAAAGGAAACACAAAAACATCACAGTTCTTATACATTTATGGCATGCTCAATAACCTAATCACTACCATTGTCTCTATATTCAGACTTATCAGATTTCCAGTCATATTTTCATTCTCCCAGCATTTCCTAAAATATCCTCTGTCCCTTTTGCCAGCAAAAAATTGAGGAAGCAAGAATGACTTTGTTCATGTTGGTCAGGTAAAGGTCCCTTGTTAGCAACAATAAATCTCTCATTCTTTTAAGGTAAAAATTAACTAAATTTTAAAAAAATCCAGAAAAAGAGAGGTTGAAGTTTAAACAGACTAGGTTTCATTCAGAAAGGCCTATGACCTGTTGCCTCTAGGATTCTTTTTGCCAGAGACCTCCAAGGATTGACGCAGCCCCTCATCCGATTTGGTATCAAGTGACCTTTTAATAGTAATCCCTAAGTTTATTACAAGTATTCTTCCTTGTAATACAACCTGGCAAGCGATTCCTTTCAGACGTTCCAACACTGACCTCCGGTGGTACCGACCTCAGATCCTCTGCTGGGTGTGCGGGATGTTAGTTTCTGGATTCCTCATTGTTCAAACAAGAGGTCCAAGGTTATTCCTGTCTCCCCAGGATAGCAACACATATCAAACATGTTCCTTTGTTCGTCCATCACTTTTGTAACTTCTCTTACCCCAAATTGTCCAATCCGTTGGCTCTGTGCCAAGCATTCCTTTTATGGTGCACCAATCCCCTGGCATTGTGCCAGCCACCTCTCTTGTAGGGAAACTGCTCCTTTGCTCGCCCAGTGCCCAGTCACAGCACTCACATCTCCCAGTGCCACAGAAGGCACTTGGTTCAATTTTGTTGCTTAGTTTTGGGAAGGCCTAGACTATGGCTAAAAGCCTTAGCATAACTCAGTTTGCCCACTACATGACCCTCAGGTTAGCTTTGAGAAGCTACACCCAAGTGTTTCTATTACTTCCCTAAAATGGGACCTAGGGCTTCTGGAAAACAAATCCCATATACCTGCAGGGCACTTGAAGAAATAGTCCATACAAATACAAACATCATACCAACATTCACAGCGTATGGTGTGATATAAACAGAATATTCCAGGAGTAGTCAGTTAATATTTTTTATTAGTCATAAGTTGTATAACACATGAGTCATCCATTAACCTTAAAAATAAAAAAAATATTTATTGTATCATATGCTGCACTTACTTGTTGTAAATCCAAATAATTTCTCATTTACTCAAATAGAATTACTCTTCATTTACATTGACATAAATGAGAGTGGAGTCTGGGCTCTTATGTGCAAACCTCTTCAGAAAAATACACTGCAGATCCTTCTATTCTTGGAGTCCAGTATAAATATTTTTTCCAAATATCAACTGTGCCCACTATCTCACCTATTACTCCTTTCTCCTTTCAATCAAATTACCTGTTCTACACGATGGTTCACAGAGTCTAGAACTGAAACTATCAGGGTGGCCAAGGCTATAAAGGCCCAAGTCTGCTGAATGTGACAGAGATATAGGGCAAATGCCCACAAAATTCTGGTTGTGCTTGACAGTAGAAATGTGACATGTAAGCTCTCAAGCTAATTACCTAGATGAATAATATAATTTATTGTATGAGAGCTTGACAGCTTATACATGACATTCAGAGCCATCCCTAAGGGGGAGGGTGGCAAATCGGGGTGACTGCCCCAGGCCATAAGCTTTGGGGGGTCCCACAGAGCTGGGTGGAGTGGCCGTGGCAATTCTGCCTGCCAGCTTCACATCCAGCTGCTTGCTCCCCTACCCCATCCCCCGCCACTGGTGCTGCCGCCAATCCAGGGCAGGTGGGATTGGGGTAGGGGTGAGGTCCCGCACAAGCTGATTTGCCCTGGGCCATGCACCCTGCTCAGGTCAGCTCTGATGACATTCTTAATTGACACAACTGATAACAATATCAAAAACCTATTGACACCAACAAATGATTACTAGTAGAGGTCTTCACTTGAGAATGGCAGTAGTACAAGCACAAGAGTAAACTAAAAGCCATCTATTCATGGTTGTACTCAGCCTTCTCTTCTAAAGCCAGTAGAAATCCTTTAAACTCCATTACTTATTCCACAAAGAAAAATCGACTAAGGCCAAGTTTACACTACAGACTTGTTCAGGCATATCTATGTGGAATGGAGGTCTGAAGACAAAGTCAGGCAGACTAATGCCTCCTGTGTAAACGCAGTTATAATGATAAAATGGTGCAGTTTTATCTGTAAAACTTGTTCCACTCAAGTATGTGGTTTGACTCAATTGTGTC